AAAATATTTTAAACACCAAAAACTGTCTTTTCCGGGGCCATGCAGGTGTTCTGAATGGCTTTAAGTTAAAAAGATTTGGCCAAAAATATAAGTTGTCAATCCATCAACAGATTGTTCGCTGGCCATGTCTGCATTTGGCACTTAGATACAAATACTCATGAAATGTTAGACAAGCATGCCATCCTTCCAACTGGTAAATAGGGGTTATGTGCAACTTAACTTCCGTATTCTGTAAAACAGATCACATCGCTTCCGGTTCAGGTCTTTTGTATGTGCTACGTGAAAAATGAGCTGTTTTACTCAATATAACTTAAAAGGAGCAAGCAAAGATGAGCATAACCAATATCCCTCGCATATGCAGATTGATATCTAAAAGTTTTTTCTTTTTTTTTCTTCTTCACACTAACGTTTAGATATTTAAATAGAATAAAGGCATATAACAAAGTGAACTAGGTTAGCTGATTACCTTAAAAGTCCATAGATATCGACCAGATATAAGACCAGTGTTCCGGTTTGGTCATGCAATGTTCGACATATAATCCCTATTATGAGTCTGAAGAACATTACAGAGTATATATATGTAAACAGCTCTGAAATGTACAGAAATATGCTCACTAAATGCCTTGAAAGGTCCTGTGAAATGCACTTTGTATCACTAAGAAGATAGAGAAACACATGTATGCCAACCATTGACATGAAATCCTAAAAACCTAACTGTTTGTAACATTTTAATGACAAAATCAATGTGTACTAGTTGAGGTCAAGAAAAATATTCATGACACAGTTATAATGGCCTCATGACAGCCAATGTCAAAACCAACCACATGACAGTTTAATGTAATGTTAACCCATAAAGCTAAGTGGTTTCTTAAGCTTGATAATGAATTTATGACATATTTATGACAATTTATGTTGCCTTGGTAATGTCAAGTTGTCATAACAAAGACATCTCAAACAATGTCATATTTGCATTAAAAATGTCATAATTGAGCGAATGACACTTAATGACAGTTGTCATAAACACGCATAAACCCTACTTCATATTCATGACGTGTGTCATGTCATGATTATGAAGGTGTCATGTCAGTCTTATGCACACCCCTTCAAGTAAAGTGTTCCCGATCTACTACATTAGGTAGATACTAATTATTTATTTCTCATGTAACACAAGCAATCAAACCAACATTAGTCATTCATGAGTTGATGCATTTTTTTTTATATATAGATCCGCAGCCCAACATGGTAATAATTACCAGTAAAAACAAAGATGAGAGCGAGCATCCGTTGAATAAACAATGCAAAAGTTTGCCTAGATCATGTGAACAATCTGCCCATACTGGCTATTTAGAACAAATGTGCATAAATCACACTCATGACAGACAGGTTACCATAAGTTACAATTATAGCCAATTATAAGTCTTTACTGTCATATAATATCTGGGATATTTTAGCGGATTCACTCACGCATTTAATTGCTGAAGCTCTGCAGTGTATATGTGGCCTCTTAGCAGCATGAAAAATACAACTTTTATTTAAAAATGTAAATAGATTACAGAAAGCGAGTAAAGAGCGCTCATTTATAATCACAGAAGCTGTCAATCTCTTCAGTTTCAGCGTGATTGGCTACTGTGCTCAACGCAGCAAATCGCACTGTAAATAGAAACCTTTGACGGTCTTCAGACTACAGAGCGGGAACACAAATAAGCGACCTGCACCGCAAATGACAACGTAAATATTATTCCTCTGCTTGAGACTATACCTGGAGGAAGTGGTCTGAGTTCGGTTCCACTGGAACTGTGGCGTGATTCGCGTGAATGTGAAAGTGACTCGGACTCGGGCACTTGTTCAGGAAGTAAAGTAACATGCGCATGCGTTTTAACTATGGCTGTCAGTTAAACACGTTATTAACGGCGTTAACGCAAACCCATTTTAACGACGTCAATTTTTTTACCGCGCGATTAACGGTCTTTTTGGCCTAGCAAACTTTGCAGTTTTTTTCACATGCTTTTGCAACAGGGCGCGGCATGCGCGGCGCGGCGCTATGAAACCCATTCATTTGAGCCCGTTCTCATCCCAAGGCGTCATAAACTGACGCTTTTGACATTTCGTCTAAATCCAACACACATGGCACCCTTTAGCGTCAATATGAGACGCAGATAGATATGGGCCAGAAGGCGCCTCCTAGAAATAATAATAATAATAATTCATTACATTTATATAGCGCTTTTCTAACCCTAACCCTACCCCAGACCTAAACCTACCCATAACTATATTGACGCTAAAGGGTGCCATGTGCGTTGGATTTAGATGAAATGATAAAAAAAGTGTCAGTTTATGACGCCTTGGGATGAGAATGCGTTGTTCATTTCAATGGCTTCTAGCTAGACCGGAAACAAAACAACAGGCGCAAACAAAACAACGCACACACTTGTTTGGGCTTGCGAGCCGGCCAAATAGTAGGTTAACGTTACGTTTTGAGTGGATGACGAGCGCGAGATGCCGAATGGATGCCAATAAGATTCTGAATGGAAAGTTTACTTTTAAAAAGTTGCCAAATGGTTCCACTGACGAGACCAAAGTGATCTGTGTGTTTAGTCGTTGTGAACTGAGTTATCATCATCGCAGCGCGTCCAGTCTGAAACACCACTTGATGATGGCCAAGCACACACACACACACACACACACACACAGCTGATGCGAATTCTCCGCCCCCTCGTCAATATCAGGACCTGTCAGTATTTCTTTCACCCTTTTATTGATGGACAGTGTTACATTGTGTGAGAGATTATTTGCTCCAAGTGAGAATGTTAGTGTGAAATTGAACACTGTATATCCCAATGTTGTTTTCAATAAAAAACATTTGCACAAAGCAAGCCGATCCACTTTTCCATGTTGATAAGAGCATTAAAACGAGAAAAAATAATGGGACAAAAAGAAATCAAGAGACATTTAGAATAGATAAAAATGTGCGATTAATCGCGAGTTAACTGTGACATTAATGCGATTAATCGCGATTAAATATTTTAATCGTTTGACAGCACTAGTTTTAACGGATGATGACATCATTAGTTCAACAAAACACGTGTAGTGGATGACAATGGTGATGGTTTAACTGGGATACGAGCGAGCGGGAGTGAGTGTAGTGGTGCTGAGTGCAATCAGAGCGGCAAACGAAAGGCTCACAATCCACTCTCTCCTCACAGAAGAAAGCCGTCTTCATGCGACACACATTCACTCTGCTCCACGATATAGCACCAAATGAATAAAAACACAATATATTGACCCGCGTTCTGTTTTCTATCATGTTTGTGATGAATATAGATGAACACAAATGCACCAGGCTTTGACAGAATAGACCAGCAGGAACAGTCGCAGTGGCAAACGCTCTCTAAGAGATTAGTAGACCAATCACTGTGACCTTTTATTTGATGCCTTCACTGTAGTTTGGACTCGTTTTGTTGGACTCGTTTGTTTTTGCCACATTGTTTTTAGGTTAAAGCATTGATTCCAAAACAAATGTCAAGTGTGGAGAACTTTTAAATTCACCATGAAATCAAAACAAACCATTCCTGGGTTTTTTTTACGGAATGTTGCAGTGTTTTATAAATGACTGCACATTTTAAAAAATGTATATGCCCTAGTAATCTTTAATCAAAACGTTAACCAGTCGTCCCGAGGAAACGACGTCTGTTCTCGACGGAGGGTGAAGATTAATATCCTCCACAACTGACGGCGAACTGGCATCTTCCTGAGCCAATCAATGCCAAGGACGAAATCAAGTCCCGTCCTGTACATTTTTTCTAATTCCAGAAACCTTATTTACCTGTAAAAGTTCATAGAAGTTCATTTGAATATAGCCTTACATATTACTATTCTAGGTTAATGAATGAAATGCCTCTTTCAGGGGTTGTCCCTTTAAGGGTACTGACAAGCTGAGCATTTTTGCACTTTTTTTTTTTCTGACAGTGTAACATCCAAATGAATGGTTTTATTCAAGTCAAAAAAATGATTTAACATCACTGAACCAACCTATTTACACATCAATTCATACAAACAAATCTCCACTTCAGCAGCACTTATTACACACAACTTGACAGTTTTATTACTATTCCTATCTATATTGAAAACATTTTTACATAGGCGTTTGTTCATATGATTCGACTGGTGTATATTTAACTCTTTCATTTAAAAAAAAAATG